TATATGAGGGATTTATTCTCTATCAAAGACAGGCATGAGATGAATTGGAGGGCAAAGTTCAAGAGGAAACTACAAAATATCTCTGTTACATCTCTGTCCCATTCTCCTCAATAGAACCAATTTGCTGCTTTACAATCTGCTCCTGGTCTTTCTCTCCTTCCTCTTTCCTTAGTGGAACAGAGCAATGGAACCACACAGACAAAGAAGCAGCTAGAATTGGGTATGGAAAAAGGGGTGGGGCATGACAAAGTTATTTGATGGTTTTGTTTTAAAACCCAATCTAGATTTCGGAGGTTTTGTCCACCCCAGGAAAAATAAATAATTGTCAGCCTCAATTCTATCTCCTCCAAATTACATATTTCCTCTAGAATCTTTTAGGTTTTTTTAAAAAAAAGATCCTTAAAGCAAAGCATATATGAGTTACAATCTTTATCTTTTCAGATCTTCTACTGCAAAAAATGCTATGCAACTCACTGTTTATGCTTTGTAATAGAGCACCTGAAGACAAAACAAGCATGCATGTCTTTTTCCATTATGTCTTCTAGCCTTTATGACATAGACAATTGTTTGGAACCAGGTGGGCATACTAAAAGGTTTTAGAGGGTTTTTAAGCACATTCACAAAATAGCTGCCATAATGGCCTTACATTACACAAAATGACTAACAAATGGGTGTGACCAGTTCAATAGGCTCATTCTCCAAAGAGTCTTTACCATCCTCTGAAACCTGCTCTAATTCCAGCTTCCTTATCTTTTTTCTAGGCAGTGATCATTCTCCCAAACAAAATCCAAGGCTGTAATTTGGTGGTGTAAAGCTCAGAGACATCCACATAAAGAAAGGTGAAACTGGTGCTAGGCCGCAGTTTAATGCATTTATTAAACTGTCAACTAAATGCATATGATATAATCAAGAACCTGTGAAGTCATCTATTTATATTATTGTTCATTGATATGATGATGCTAATTGACATCCAGTAGCTGATTAAGACACATCTCCGTTTAGCATTTGGGCATTTTCTCAAAGATCACCATCATGGATCAGGCCAATTTATGAATGAATGAAAAATAGACTTCTCTGCAACTCTTACTGATCTAAAGATTTGCAGTTCTGTTCTTCCATAGATTGCCCCATCTTTTTGCAACAAAACTCCCTGGGGCATCATCAAAATCAGCCCCTCTTCCATCTTAGACTGACATGCAGTCTTGGGGTTTTGGTCTTTCTGTTGAAAGGAAATGCCAGTTCTAATGTTCTGTAATTCAACTTTTGTGCTTAGTGATCTCTGTTGGAGCTTGCTTTTTCTCTTTCTGGACTCTTGTGATCAGGTCAGTTATTGAATAAGTCATGTTTACTGATGATAATAACTTCACTTCCTGTAACCCAATTATATCTACTAAGAAAAGTATGCTTACTTACTAGTTATCTACATTTCATTTCAAAATTAAATCTACCATTGTAACTTGTTCATGCATGGTATACAAATGAATTTAACACAGCAACCTTAAGAAAGCCATCTTTGTATGCAGGATGCATCAGCATTTTTCTTCTGTAGTATTTTACTGATGGGCTTCTGCACATTAATAGGATATTACACACACACACACAATGTGCCCAGTCTCATTTATTTGGAACACCATGTTTCTTGCTTTACAAAGGTAATGCTCTTGATAGAAATCCAATCCAAGGTCAGTTTAAAGAACCATAAGAAAGGAAAGTAGGAGCCTTGGCATCGATCATCAGCTGTTAGCATCAAGGAAATCTACTAGGCAAGTACAAGTTATCTAATTGGAATTTCCTTCTGGGATGAGATGTGCATATTTCTATGTATTATAGCTATTACTGATCCATCCATTTTCACATATGTATTGGGATACTCATAATTTATACAAGTAACTGTCCTTTTGATGCTGAGTTTCCTCTTCTTTGGCTAAGCAGAAGAGCTCAGTCACCCAACACAAGCTGCTTTTGTTGTTTGTTTGTTTGAGCAATGCTTCATCAATGCTCATTTGTGTATTTTGTTGAGTTGCACAACGATGATCCAAAATGAATAAGGACATGTTGGTTCTGCAAGTAAAGATTGTTGTTGTTTTGATTTGTTCCTACATTTGGAAGGAATACGGGTATTTATTTTGAAAACTATGTTACATTTTAAAGGATAATATTTGTAGCTCAGGGTTGAAATGAGGGTTGCCCTCTGAGACATTTTATTACCCAAACTAGGTAACATCATTAGTGCTAGTAAGGAGTGAGAGTGAGTAAAGTGAGAGCAAACCCCACTCCCTACTAACACTGATACTAACACTGGTGCTATTACTTAGTCTGAGTAATGAAATGTCTGTAAGAAACAACCAAGTGGAGAGACCACCAAGGACCCTTCATGTTACGATTTCTATCATGCTACAGTTTTTCTCCCAAACCCCAGCATAACACATTAATTTGGAAATAAATCTGTTCATCTGGGATATTAAAATTTGAGATAAATTTAGAGAAGACTTTTATAATCCATGAATGCCAGAGGGTGCTTAGCAAACTCGAACAGTAAATATTACAGTAAATATTAGATTAGTAAATAATAAGTACAAATAAGTTGCAACTGTGGATGTCTAGAAACACAATAATATACTAATTGTAACAATTATGGATGAAATAAACAAATATAAACACATAAGATCTATAACTTGCAATATTGGTTTTTGTTGAAATAAATACCTGTTTGAAAAATGTTGCATATTTTTCTTGAAAAACATCAAAAGGAAGGATGTGGGAGATACACAATACATAGCCTTCAAAGTAGAAATGCATTTTCCTTCCAATATATATATTTTAATATGGTCATAAAAATGTAGCCTTTCAAATATTAAAAAAAAATTAAACTCTTATGAAAAATTCAGCCTAACCTTCAAGGTTAAAAAAGAATAAGCAGAAAACTGTCCTAAAACATCGTTTTTTAACATGGCTCCTTAAAAAATTAAATATATGTCAGAGAGCAAGTAAAAATATCACCTTACACCATTTACATTTTAAAATTGCTTTCCTTTAAGGCATTCATCCAAATATACCAGCACGGGTTCTCTTCTTGAAATGGGAATCAGAGAATCTTCTTAGTCATTCTAGCCTGCTTGGGAAATCAGTCCTACAGCTTATATTTCATTTAAACACCATTTCAATGTTATTATTCAGAAACTGGGCTGAAGAAGTGGAAGGAAGCAACACCATAATTCATATTCATATTCTTGCTATCATCATCTTCTCTTCTCTCATTCCCCCCAAATGTCTATGCATGGAAATCTGGAAAAGGCTTCCATCTGGACACTTAGGCCAAGATTCTGTTTTCCTTAGAATCACCACTGGCTTATTCAGGTCTTCTAAATGTCCATGTAAAGAGTTAGCCCAATTATAGATGCAATCTCTGCTTTATGTTTCATCCTCTATGGAGGGAGTGTTAACATGAATATCTTAAGGATGTTTCTGGATATGCCCAGAACTTTGGAAATGGACTGACTACATGAACTGGTTTATGCAATTTTCATGGCAACATTTTTTGGGAAGTGATTTGCCATTCCTTTCTTCCTAGGGCTAATAGAGAATGTATGGTTCAAACTCACTTAGCTGGCTTCATGCCTAAGGCAGGACTAAATCTCCCAGTGTCCCAGTTTCTACTTTGGTACTTTAAACCACTACTCATTTGGAAATGGCCTCTGTAGCAGTAAGCAAGCAGCAGTATCATTGTACCATGCATTGCAGCACGAAGTGTGACTTAGCATCTCTTAGGAGATATCTTTGTGAAGTCTGCAGAAAGAGAGCTACAGTATTCCAAAGACTCTTTCCTAATGATGCTTCCTGAAGACTGTTATGGTAAACAATGCCTGCTTTTCATATATTTCCTTAAGAAGAGCAGAATATGCTAGAACACAGCAAGCTACATACTGCTGCCCTCTCTGAAGAGGAATATTCTGGCTTGAAATTTGAAACTTTGCATTCCTTAGACAAAAGGTTTGTCTTGTTTTATTTGTTCTTCGGCTTTCCTCATTAATTGAGTTGACACTGCTGTGTGTACATTAAATAATGTCAAAATACATAAAGCAAAGTAGAAGTTGAGTGACATTTGTTGACATTTTCCAAAGAGGCAAAACAAGTTAACATTGTAGCTGAATGTTAAAAGGTCTGGGAGTTAATGTCTTTACTCATCAGTGTGGCTCTGGGCAGGGTTGACTGAATGCAACCAGAACATTTATTTATATTTCCTAACAGGAATTTTTATTCATTTAGTTTAATGTATTTCTAAAATATTAATGAAAAATAAGTATGGAACAAAACCCTGTTATCCTATTCCTATTATTTTCATAAAACATTAGCTTCAAATAGGAAGAAATAGTAAGCTTTTTGATTTAGTTTTGCTTTTAAACCTAGATTAATGTTTATATATACAAAACAAGAATATGTTTTTCCCCATTTCACATATAAAATTTGTTTACATTGATCTTTCAAATAAACCTGAACTATGGTTTAGAAGTGTGTGTGGTGGGGAGGGAGGGAAATCCTGAGAATTAAATAACGTTTTTATGTCTTTTGGTAACTTTACTCTCAAGAATATAGGCATCTTTGCTGAAATGCCTTCATTGACTTTTTTAAAAGAGACATGATTTTTTAAATATAAGCATCTTTTTACTTTGCACAAAACTCCTCAACTAATCTGGAATTTGATATGGATATTTCTTACCAATAGAGCAATATTACTGCAAATATTATAGGATTCGGTTCAAAAAAGAGATGGTAAGACCATTTGCAGTAGATAACTGATGATGATGATGATGATGATGATGATGATGATGATGATGATGATGACTCAAGATGTTCTTGAGAAATAAGCACATGTGATCTGGAGAGATCAGTTCTGTTTCTGTGATAAGAACTTAACTGAACAGAACAGAACAGAACAGAACACGGTGAAATGTGATAACATTAGACCTGGAAACACCCTTGGGAAGACCTGTGACACTTACCTTGAAAGACAGTCACTGTCACTGTGGTTGTTGTCACCTAAAGGGGTGGTGGGAATTTCCAGATAGGCCTTTGGGCGAAGCATGACATCCTTCCCTCCTCCTTTCCACAAAAGATCAGCCTGTTCTCTCTATTGACTTAGAGCTTGTATGCTTGCAAAACGCATATGTTGAAAGTTACTTGCAATCTGTTGTCTGGATGCTATCTGTGTGGAAAGCAAAACAAACAAAGAAAATCATAGCAGGGACATAACATTAAGAGAGCCATAAAATTAATACACTTGTGCATGAAATCTTTTGAATGTCTGAACTGTTGTTTAAGTAGAGGTATAGAGGACATAAAATAAACACATAAAAACACCTGACTAGGAGGCTCAGTGGCTAAGACACTGAACTTGTCAATCAGAAATGTCGGCAGTTCGGTGGTTTGAATCCCTAGTACAGGTCTCCTGCGTGGGCAGGGGGTTGGACTAGATGACCTCCAAGGTCCCTTCGAACTCTGTTACTGTTACCCTAACTCTGAGCTTCCTCAAGTTGTGTATTAAGTGGCTTAGGCTGCTTTCTGAGCTGAAGATTTTGTAATGAAGCAAATTGGATAGCTTTGTACATCCAGACTTCACTACAGTAACTGTGTGGGTAGGCATTATTTAAAGGCAACAGAACATGAATACAGATCGTGGCAGGGATCACTGATCTTAGGCACTGGAAATTCTCTTTTTTTATTAGTTTCAGGATAAGATAATTTGATGGGTAATTTCTTTTTTACTCATTGATGATGAAAATATTATCATTATGTTCTCCGTCTTATATGGATATCAACAAAACGATAATCAGAGAAAAAGAGAAGACCAATAAATTATGTTAGTAAAATAAGACAACAATTATATCTATAGGAAATGCATTTGAAAGAATGGTTTCAAATATCAGTGGGATGATTGCTCATTTGTATGCTACATCAATTTCGCAATGCAAGCACAATTGACTAAAGCCTTTTTCAGAGTCTGGTCTATTTCATTTCTTATATTAGCAAAGAGGACTTCTGCCAGCTTGAACAAACCAATCACCGGTTGTTTCAGTAAAACACCTAGGCTTTGTAGATAATTATCAGCAAGCTCAAACTGAAAAATAAATCAATTGGTATCTCCACTTCACATCAGCACAAAGAGCTTGTATAGTAAAGCGAGCTGTGTAGATCTTTAAGAGGGTGCTTCATTATGATAAAGCGACATCACTTGGCTGGTCTGCCTTGACTAGTATTTGCAATAGCCAGAAGAGGTAAATCACATCACTTTTTGGCTTGAGGAGAGTCACTTTGCTTCCATGGCATGACATTTTGTTGAGGGGAATCCAAGCTGTCCTACATAGACCTAATAGTAATAGCATTTAGATGCATTACTTTTTAGAAAAGCAAAGATCTTCATAGATAGCGTCTCCTTAGGACTCATACAACTTCTATATGGCAACTCATTGCGGTTACTTATATTTCTTCCCATGCATTTCTCTTTTATATTCCTTTTGGGTGACTGGCTTCCTCTTTAAAATTCATAAAGACACTGCAATTAAATACAGAGAAATTCAATTATGTTGCAAAAGAATACTGTCACTAGTTGTTGATTGTACTTAATACCAGCTCTATCATTTCATAACACATACAAAATGCATCTGTCTCTTTGATGCAATTTATAATGTTCCCCTTTTATGATAGCTTGGAATCTGTAATGCAAGTGGTTGCATTTGTAAAGCAGTATAGCAGGCTGAATATTTAGTTCTGTTAGTGATTTTTTTTACTTTCAATGGTCAGGATTGTATTTTATTTCAGAATGATCCTTTACATATTATGTATTCATTGTGTAGCTTCTAGCAAATCAATCATTTTAAACAAGACTTTTATCCTTAACAATAAGAAGACTAGCCACTACATTATCATATGCCTTTTTTCTCTAAGGAATTTCTAAGGAATTTAAGTCAGCATCCAGTCTTCTCTTTGCCATTATTTTATCCTCAGAACAATTGATGAAGTAAATCAAGCTAAGACCTAAGTTTAAACAGTCACTCAGTGAGGGTCAGAATTTTATAACACATCCCGTTTCATCCCAGATTTAATCTGATTAGTTTTGGGCTCTTGCACCATCATCTGGGTGCAGTAAAAATAAAAACTCAAATCAAGTTTAGTTCTGGAAATTGCATATATATGTCCATGGAATTGTCCTAGGAGTAATATGAAGTGGTTTGCCATTGGATAATTCAAGATTTTTTCGTAACTTCCTAATCTACTCAGGTATTAACCAGCATTGATCCTGTATTGCATTCTGAGCATCAGCCAATATGTAGATGCTGCTACCTTTTGTGAGTTCATTCTAGTATCAAAATTTATTTTTTGTATCTTTAGCTTCTCTGAAACCTATAGATATACTGGAATTAAATGTTGCACAAGGAGAACAAAAAATAAATGGAACATTGTCACTGTTTACTAATTCTGTTGTGTTATTTTCTCTCACCATGAAACAGCAGAATGTTCCTCTTGTGTGTGGAGAACATCATGCTCATGATATGCAGATTACACTTATTTCTTGAAATAAATTCATTACACTACCGGTATGTAGATGTACAGACAAATGCATCCTATTCATTGGCATAGTGAGATACAAGTGCTCTCAGGCACTTGTATTAAAAGGATATTTTGTAATGTGTACAGATGGGAGAGCTTCAAGTAATCTGAAAATTTGTGTAATGTGAACATTGCTGTACAGGTAGTCTTTGCTCAACAACTAGTCATTTAGTGACCATTCAAAGTTATGTCAGACCCAACAAAAAGTTCTGGAGTTCTGATAGTGGCATACTACATATATTACTCTCGTTACTTCCCGCTTGGACTACTGCAATGCTCTCTACATGGGGCTCCCCTTGAGGAGCACCTGGAGGCTCCAGCTGGTCCAGAATGCGGCCGCGCGGGTGGTTATGGGAGCGACGTGGCGCTCCCATGTGACCCCCCCTCCTGCGCGAGCTGCACTGGCTCCCGGTGGTCTTCCGGGTGCGCTTCAAGGTTTTGGTTACCACCTTTAGAGCGCTCCATGGCATCAGACCGGGGTATTTACGAGACCGCCTTCTGCTACCAATAGCCTCTCACCGACCAGTACGCTCCCATAGAGAGGGGCTCCTCAGGGTGCCATCGGCCAAACAGTGTCGACTGGCGGCCCCCAGGGGGAGACCCTTCTCTGTGGGGGCACCTACCATCTGGAACGAGCCCCCCCCAGAGATACGGAGGATCCCGGACCTGCGCACGTTTCGCCGTGCTCTCAAAACTTTTCTATTTCAGCAGGCTGGCCTGGCCTAATTCTCCTCTTTTAAATTTTTTAATTCGTGATTTATAAATTGGGTGTTTTAATTTGTGTTTCGGCCAAAATATTTAATAACTTTAAGGGACTTTTTAATATTTGTATTATCTGTATTTTATCTTGGCTGTTCACCGCCCTGAGTCCTTCGGGAATAGGGCGGTATAGAAATTTGATTAATAAATAAATAAATAATAATAAACATGTATGTGTTGCATGATTACATTTTGGGTCCTTGCTCACTTTTATGGCAGTTGCAATGTGCCACATTCATGTGACAACAATTTACAATGCTTTTTTTTTTTTTTTGGCTGCTCTCCAGCTTTTTGGCTGATTTTTGCCAAAAAAAAAACAAAAAAAAACCCATATGAATGAATGGGCCCCCTTTACAACTACCACATTTGCTTAACAATTGCTGCAAAACCAAGTTGTAAAATCAGGTTGGTGGGTGCCTTGAATTACAACCATCATGGTTTATAGTGGAAATGATAGTGGGTTCCATTATGGTTGTAAATTGAGCTCTACCTGTAATTGCTTTCAGAATATATATTGGCAACCAGAAAATGAAGAACCTTGGGCTCCATTCTAGTTTTGCTCAGGATGGTTCTATTGTTTTAGTTATAGAAGTGTTATAGTGGTAGGTTGCCCCCGGTTCAAACAGGTTCTATAGAACCGGTAGTAAAACCGGCGGGAGGCTCCGCCCACCGACCCTAATGTTATCAGGACGCTTCTGCGCATGCACAGAAGAGCATGCATGCATGCTCGCTTTGCTCGCATGCGCGTGGGGCCCCATTGCAAACCGGTAGTAAAGGTAAGTAGAACCCACCCCTGAAGTCTTAGCAAGGAAAAATGGAGCAAGCCATTCACTTTTTTAAAAAAATCAGTCAGTCCTATATGTACCGGTAAGTGCTTATTTCTGCACTGAAGAAATGATAGAGTAGGTACGCTTTGGAACTCTGTGACAGTTGAAGCTAGCTGCGCACACAACAGTGTACATGATGAACTACAATATACTCTGAGGTTATCCTTGAACTACCCAGCATGATATGCTTGCCCAAAGCAATATTTGTTCCTGTTATCTTAGCATTAAAAAAGAGGTGGGGGGAAACCATCCTCCAAACCAAGACAGGACAGAAACGACATCCTTCAGACTAGTCCAGCATCACTAGGGAAAGCAATTTATTGTCCTCTGATGCTATCAGCTGCTGAACTAGGTGAAACAGACAGCATTAACAAGGTTGTAGACTAGAGTTGCCTTAGTGTTTTATACGTTATTTGAAATCCAGCTCTCTGTCCATCAAAACCCATGTTTCTAGTCATATTTTATAAACAAGCTTCTCCTGCTTTACGATAATCTGCCTTTTCTGTCCTTGTTGCTTCATATTAACACCCCTTTCCATTAGCATTGTTGTTGTCAGTTCATGTTATTCACTTTCTGAAAAGATTATTATTAATGCTATTCATTTATTATTATTAAAATGTGTTACAATCATCCACTCCAGCAAACTCCAGGTAGCTTAGAAAATCCAAATAAGCAATTTCAATAATTTGAAAACATAAAACAAAATGAAAAGCCCAGAATAAAAGCAACCGTAACAATAAATACAATAGGGCCCCCACAAACATGTTAACTCTAGGCCTGGGGGGGGGGAATGTCCATCAATATAAATGCAAACAATTAATTTTCTGGATCAGAGGCCAGTCTGCAAATTCTTAGGAAGTTCTTAAGAACTTCACATTTTCCCATATGAGTTCCACAATGGCTTCTGATTGGCTACTGTGCGAATTGAATGTTAAGACTAGAGAAAATGTGGGTCTAAACCAGTGGTGTGTTGCTCCCGGTTCACCCCGGTTCAGGCGAACCAGTAGCGGTG